TATACTAGAATAATAGGTAAATTTAATAACCATTTTAACATCGGTTAGTTACACTCCATCAAGTGCACTAACATACAAAAACTTTTAAAAAGTTTTTAACTAAAAACGATTTGGAAGGTCTATTGGATTAACTCTTTTGAGCCTATATGTAGCTTCACTATTGTCGAGGAGGTTAACTGCCAGGAAATTTGGATGGGTTTCTAATTTTCTTTGGTATTTTTCACTTCGTTTCTTTACTTCTTCTTTAACATAGGGCAATTTTGTATCTTGATGAATTACTTTATATGTGACAAACCAAGGTGCTTGTAAAATTTTTCTCAGTGTTTTCGATTGAAACCTTTGACAAAGTTGCATTAATAATAATAGCACACAGCTGTAAAAAAAACATAGAGGAATATTATTGAAATGACAGATAATCACATATCTTAACACTTTTCCGCCAGACCAATCCTTCCTCTCTGGTATTAGTACTTTGAAAGGCTTTCCAAAGGAGTGTTTTTTGGACATGTGATCTGAAGGCAGGTCCAACTCATCACTACGTACCACCTGAACAATTTTGGAGTGCCCTTTAGTGTGATCCCTGTGATGGTTATCCATAAGTTTTCGCATCTCAGACGTAGGGCTGTTTTTCTTGCTACCACCTTGATAAAAATGTCGGTGGGTCAAGCAGACAATCTAGGGCCGCTCCAGGACAGCTACTTACTGCCCCAGTTATCATTAGAAGTGCAAGCCTCTGAACTCTTGCTAAAACTTTGACAGCTGCAGTAGATTCCATCTTAGGCCACCACACAAGCGAACCGTACGTCAAGGCGACCCGCAGACAACAGATAAGTACAGCCAATGCAAGGCTGTAACCCCCATTGTTCCACCTACCATCCGCCATTAGGGACCACTTACCACGATCAATGACTTTTTGAAGATGTGGTCTCCAGTGAAGTGGTCTGTCCAAAATTACACCTAGATACTTCACCTGATTCTGCAGCTCAATTTTAGTGAGCCAATTCCTTCCAGTTTCCTTCTTCTTGTGAAGGGTACCATTACAACTTTTCTGGGATTAATGGAGAGCCCAACTTCAAGACACCAACGGTCCACCACCCTTAAAGCTCAGTTCATAAGGTCAGTACAGGATCATAAGGTACCCTTAAAGTTCATAAGGTCAGTTATGGTTCCGTGGAACTTTCCAACCACAAGGATTGCAACATCATCAGCGTAGCCTAAGGCAAGGACCCCACTTTCATTGAGGGTCCTTATAAGGTCGTCTACTCGTCTGCTACCGAATTCCAAAGGAGGGGAGATAGAACCCCACCCTGGGGGCAACCTCGAGTAGTTCTTGCCTCGATCGTATCATTATGGCGTGAGAGCTAGCCTGACCTTCCTACTGTGAAGCAAGGATTCAATCCACTTACATGTAATCTTGTGAAATCTCCATAAAACAAGAAGCATTAAATAGGGTTTAATTTAACTATACGGTAGGATAAGAAGTTTACTTGCACTGTTCACAAACATACATAACATACACGGTTTGTTGCTGTTGGTTAAATAATAAGACCGCATGTTCATAGTAGCCTTACGAACATGCGGATACAAATATTGATTTGAGAATACCTAGTTATTTTTAAAATGCTGATTCATGTACTTGGTTTCATTCCCAATCACATTAGATATAAATATTATTTGTTATAACCTAATTATGATTAAATACAATCTGTAAAATCTACTGTACCTTTTCGATTGGTAGTAGCATAGATAAAACATACATGGTAGTAGTTTCCAAAAGGCGTGTAATCCTTTCGCTTTATTATTTGATCAGTGGCCATCATCCGAATGTTTATCCTTTTTACTGTGTTTAGGTCGTGGCTTTGAGGCGGTAGCTGCAAAAAGGGCCTTTATGCCAGAACACTGATTTGAGAAAAACGAGTTCGAAAAAATGTCATTCTTGCATAAATATTGCATTTACTAAGAATCTAACTTGGAATACTTCTCCATATTCTTTAGAACCTGAAGCAAACTTTGTTACCATGGTTTTTTAATAACAATATCAGGCTATTAAGTATTTTTTGTTTATGTGAAATAGTGCATGGGCCCTTTTTGCATAGATGAAGTTTTTACATGCCCTTTTTGCATAGACCAATATTTATATGATCTGTTAAAGCATAAAATATGTGTTTTCTTAGGCAATTTCTAACAGTTTGATAAGAAAAATTTAAATTTAAAATGACATCTTACCGGCTCAGTAATTAAAAATAATAAAATCATAGTGTAACCTGTAAGAGAAAAAAAGGTAGGCTGCACAGTAAAATATGAGTCATAGTTGAAAATGTAACACTTTTATTTTACAATAAAAAAGTGAGTCATAGGCTAGTTGGATATCTAATACTTTTATCTTTCAATGTCTCTACAATTTAATTTAATTTATTAACCTCTGACGTTTTCTAGTATTTCGAGCCCATTCTTCCTTATTTTCACTTTTCTTCTTAGCACCCTTCTTCTTAAAAGTGTCCAAAATAGTAGATTTATTAGTTAGCATGATGTTAAAGAATAAAATAAACTGAATATTCCTATTGTTTGGTCACTAACACACTCCAAAACTGAACAAAACAAACATAATAACATTCGTAACATACCGGGTGTCCCACGAAGGGGTTTAAACGTTTGATTTTATATTACGTGCCCATTCATGCACCGAACCTTTTTAAACTTTACACAGTTTACAAAGTAGGTTCTAAAAATATTCTGGAAAAATTTCAACTCCCTAACCTTAGTAGAAACAAAATGGCGGCTTATTGACAAATTTACCAATGTGCTTTCTATAAAAACTACTTTCATGATTTATTATTAGTTATTTATTTATTATTATTATTTATTAGTTTTTTGATTAATTTTTAGTTTTCCATTTGGCTATGTTCTAATTTTTTCTTGTTTTAAAGTCATATTGCCCTGGAAAGTAACAATAAAAATATTTTATAAAACCAAAAATACCCTTTTTAATGTTTTAAAGTAACTTTTTCAATATGCCGCCATTTTGTTTCTACTAAGGTTAGGGAGTTGAAATTTTTCCAGAATATTTTTAAAACCTACCTTGTAAACTGCGTAGTTTCAAAAAGTTCGGTGCATGAATGGGCGCGTAATATAAAATCAAACGTTTAAACCCCTTCGTGGGACACCCTATACATAACATTCAGTGTCATTAACCTCGATCTATGCAAGAAGGGCCTATACACAACTTTCTTATAACAGCTGTACAAAAAAAAAATACTTCAGGTTCAAATATGAAACTTTGCAGGTATACCAACAAACAGAATTGAAAGAAACGTTCTCCAAAAAGGGCCTATGGATCCATAGGCCCTTATTGCAGCTACCTCCTCGATTATCCCATATACTATGATTCTTTGTTTTGTTTACATTTACATTGTTATTTTGTAACCATCGTGGCAACCCATAAGGCCAATGTTAAAATTTACAAACTTTGAGTTACTTTTAAATTATACAGGCATTATCAAAAAATTGAAATTGGTTTCGTCTAAACCTTCCAAACATTTGAGAAAACAACCTTGGTAGGTTTGGCTAAAATATGTTCAGCCATTATTGAGTTAAAGTGTTAGAAAGGTTGCATTGAAGTCGATCCCAAAGAGTTTCTCTTTGCTCCGCTCAACTATAGTATGGTTTAAAAAAAAAACATAACTTAAGTTATGGTTAAGTTGGTTGGTTATGGTTAACTTAAGTAGGTTTAACCAGCTTCTAATTTGACTGAATTTGTAGATATTTCATTTATTGATCTCAAAGTAGGGGAGAGGTGGTGGATGCTGTTTATCTGGTTAAAACTTAAAAGATATACAACATACCACCGGTACTGTGGCATCGTCCTGTAATCCAGCAACTATGAATACCATACTCCATGTTGTGGATTAACGTCTGCACTATTGTCGGGACCACGTAAGTTTGCAGTTGGTGGCAGCCAATCACAAGACAAGGCTAGTGCGACCTTGCTACGTCGCCCATTGACAACACTAATTAAAATATACAAAGCAATATTTTCAAATCAGCTGGTAGATTTGCCAACACCGCACCGTTCTCATTGGTTCATTCAAAACTATATGGTAAATAGGCTCCTCCCTCAACTGCAAACTTAAGTGGTCCCGACTATAGTGAGTACTACGACTATCCGCAGTACTGTCCTGATATTTTAGACCAATTTGTTAATTACAAGGTAAAAAAGTGGTTCACATTCCACTATAAACTGTAGGTCCCTTGGTTGCCATTGGCTGTAATTAAAATCTGTGTCTAAGGAAAATGTCGGCCTTAGTCACGAACAAGACTACAAGATCATACCACTCATCTCCATTCATACTTGGCTTAAAGTACCATACCTTTGTATGGTCGCCATTTCAGATTAAAGTATTAACATTTTTCTGTTATTAGCTTGAAGTTCACTGCAATATTCTAGAATTAATAAAAAAATTTATACTAACTAAACTTAAGTCATTGTTTATCGCAATAATTGCAGCCACTGACTTTTAAAAGTGATTGCTGACATCAAAGAAGTAGCTATACCCTATTCTCTTTTGTCTTGTCAGTGTCTTTCAAATCAGTCACCTCCCATAAAAGACAGACAAACGCACTAATTAGATTTATTACTCGTTGGCATGTTTCAGGACTACAGGGCATGAGCCATGAACTTGATAACAATATAGCCTCCCAATCTGAATCACAAGAGAGTACTGCTCAACTCTTTAATAACTTAACTTCTTTCTTCTTATGTAGCTTGTCAATATTTCATAGATATACGAATTAAGTTTCTGATCCATCTAATAATATGTTTTCATCTTCGTTTTTGCAATAGTTTTACAATATCAAGAGAGAATACTCACAATAAAAGCATGCTGTAAAAATGTTTGATTAATTGTAAATAAATAAATAAATAAAACAAAAACAGATAGACCAAAAATAAGTGGATTTGAGAAGAAGTATTGAGAAAGGATGTGATTATCATATTTATTTTTGTAACATACAAAATTAAACACTGAGTAATTGACTCAGGGGTAGGTGGCTATGGTCTTCAAAATTTATAGCATTATCAGTGTCCAAATCCAATACACACAGTTAAAAATCACAAAAGCAATAGGAAAAAGCAGTCTGCTTCTACGATCAATCCAATTTGCAATTTCTTGAGGAGTCATTGTGAAAAGTGTTTTTGAGGGCCCTTTTCCTTCCAGTTTAGGCACTGATAGAGGTGCAGTGGATAGCCTGTCTTGCATGTTCATTGATGAATGTGTAGAGCTATATATAGAAAAGTCACCGTTGAGTTTCTGGAAACAATATAAGTTCAAGTTTTCAATATATTGTAAGAAAACTGTACAGTATATATATATATATATTAAAAGAGATTAAAGTACAGGGTGTCCCAGACCACCCAGGCATAGTTCCAATATAAAAGCAAATAGAAACCTATAATTGCAACTGGAACCCCTTATTTTGACCCCAAGGAATTCAGCAAAGTTATTTTTAAACCCAAAAAAGCACCCCAAAGGACAGATTTTGGAGGGTGGGGGTGGTTTTGGGAAATTTTCAAATGTAAAGGGGGGTCTTGTTATACCTCATTTTAAAGGTCTTTGAGTCCTGAGTAATTTAGTGGAAAAAGTTTTAAATTATTTTTATCCCTATTTACAGGTCCAGTAAGTTCCTTATCATCTGTTTTATCTCTTCAAATGTGACCAGTTTCATTCACACGCTCATTGATTTCATGGTGATTTTTATTTATTTATAGCATCTAAACAAAATTGTTTATTCAAAGCTTTATTAGAGCTATGGAGTTAAAAAATAACTAGGAATATTTGAAGTTGTGTTCTTTCCCTTATTAATCTTCCTACAATAATCTGGGTAGTATTATTTTTTTACCAATTAGTTTTAATCGAGACCTAGACGTGTACATTAACAACAGCAAACACTTTGAATACGATTTAGTAAAACATTAAAATACACTAATTTTGCTACAGCTCTTTAACCAATAAAGATACCAAAAAACATTAAATGCAAAAATTGTAGCTAATTTTAAGGGCTACAGTGTGGTTTGTAATGAAACCCATGTTGCTATTTGAAATTTTTGAGATAACAGCTTTTGAAACTTCAAAAAGTTTGAAAATGTGTAACATAAGTAAAAAGATTGGAAAAGGGTTGAAAACCACAGGTTTTTTGAAAGCTCATTTAGCTAATTAGTGTTATCACAATTTGAACCTCCACGAAATTCCACCTCTTTGCAGTGAAAAGTAGTTCAAAGGTTTATTTTTTGTAAGTTTTTGAGCACCCTGTAAATAGGGATGAAAATAACTTAATTTTTCAAATTTTCCACTAAAATACTCAGGACTCAAAGACCTTTAAAATGAGGTATAACAAGACCCCCCTTTACATTTGAAAATTTCCCAAAAACCACTCCCACCCTCCAAAATCTGCCCTTTGGGTGCGTTTTTGGGTTTTATAAATAATTTAGCTGAATTCCTTGGGGTCAAAAAAGGGGGTTCCAGTTGTAATTAGGTTTCTATTTGCTTTCATATTGGAGCTATAGAAGCCGGCCAGGTGGTCTGAGACACCCTGTATTTTCTTTCCTCCAATAAAATCATGCATATATACAAATAATGCTGTCTTCGTAAAAGTTTGATTTAAAAATTTATTTAAAACTGATATTTATGGTATATAGCTCTATTAAAATATCTAGTTTTTAGTTTTGATGAAAAGATGAGTATATTAAGACTTGACAACAATTAAATTAGACTAGTGTGCCCATTGCTTGAAATCGAGCAATTGTCAAGTACTGGTATTATACAGGAGTGATTAAACAAATTAAAGTCATCTTCTATGAGTGCTCAAAATCGAGCAATTGTCAACCGTTATTATACAGGCGTTATTTAAAACTGCAGTAATAACAGTCATAATTTTCGATTTTGATAAGTTTAAAAGACTCAAAACTTATGTAACTAATTGAAATATTCACTCTACAGTATTAATAACGGGTTGAAATAATAAACACTTATTGTAAAAATGTTTTTTAAAATTTTTTAGAAGCCGGCCTAATTTTTTAGTGTTTTATACAAATGTTTCCCGACTTATAGCTGTTACCAGTAAACATTTCTTGCATGTATTCATTTCATCTGACATTAGGTAGGTTTTATATACCACTGTGACAACATGATTTGTATTCTTCATGATTGTTTTACTTTCAAAATAAGTTGCAAAGCAGTACTGGTAAAAATTATTCATCTCTCCAAGTGATTGTGTATCTGGATTCCTTACTGTTAGACCATGCCTCTCTTCTTCTCTTCTCATACGTATAAGATTACCCCAATAACAAGAGTTATTGGATAAGAGTTATAAGAGTAATAAGAGAGTAATAAGAGTTATTGGTCTTAACCTCCTCCTGTTTTCAATAGGTATTTCTTCTTAAAACTCAAGAAATTTTCTGTTCTTCCAACAAAACTGATAAACTGTTTGGATTGGTCTATAACCTCCTGAATATTACAAACATTAATATTTACTCCCAAGAAGCTGGCGAGTTTCTTCTATAAGTATAAAAGAGGATGTTTGTATATTTGGCAGTGATAAACTCAGGCAACCCTGAACCGATTGCCACGAAACTTGGTACATACGTGTAGAATTTCATGGAATAGGTTTATACACCATCAATTTCGTGATCCGTCCAATCGGCTCCACCCCAGTGGCTCTGGAGTTTCCCATGTTAACCTTATGAGAAATGGAATTAATGAATCTTAACAGCTGTTTCAATTAAACAAGTTGGTTCTGTTCTATGATGTTCAATAGCATTAAAGTTACAAGGATTACCAACAGGGTGCAGCACTATTATTTCTTTTACATTTATGACAATTTGACAACAGCTAATTTGCAACTAAAAGGTGAGTGAGCATAGCGAACGAACTTCAACCTGGAGGCGAGTTAGCGTAGTGAACGAGCTAACCTGAAGGCAAGTGAGCGTAGCGAACGAGCTAACCTGAAGGCAAGTGCGCGCAGCGAACGAGCTCCAACCTAAAGTTGAGTGAGCGTAGCGAACGAGCTCCAACCTAAAGGTGAGTGAGCGTAGCGAACGAACTTCAACCAGGACGTGATTGAGCCATGCGAACGAGATCATCTTGAAAATTAAGAAGTTAAACGGGGCAAAGCCCGTGGGTTACAGCTAGTTTTATATACAGCTGTTTTTTTGTTTTTAATTTTGTTCAATGTAATTCTTATGGTGAAAACTCGACCTTTGAAAGGGTCTCACTCCCTTTAGGGTAGGAACTTTTAAATTCTAAAACCTTAATGCAAAACTATAAATTGGGCCTGAATCTTTTGACACCTTAAACGTTGAAATTGGTCCACAAATAAGGGAGGAGTAGTGTTCACAAAAAACAGCCCTCACAAATTAATATAAGAGTTAAAATATTATATATCTACTAGCTGAGTACCCGTCTTTCGTACGGGGTTGGTATACAATGCTTATTGTAGTTAAATACTCGTGCTTTGCATTTACAATGAGAGAGAACACGTTTTGAGAAAATTTGGTTTACCACGGTATACAGAACATATACCATAGCCATAATGATCCACCACTTCACCTAAACAATAGAAAGAAGTAAAGTCCTCACACTCAGGTTTTTGTTGCTGCTTGGTTCAAATTAGCTGTTGTCATAATGTATAAAGAACTAATGGTGCTGCACCCTGTTGGTAAACCGTATAACCTTTTAATGCAATTGAATATCATAGAAACAAAATAATTGTGTAGTTGAAACAGCTGGCAAAATTATTTAATCTATCTATACTATTATAAAAAAGAGCTGGTTGCTGTATGTGTGTATGTGTGTATGGGAAAAGTAAACTCGAAAAATACTGGTCGGATTGGGCTGAAATTTGGCATGATGATAGGCGAGTTAGCGTAGCGAACGAGCTAACCTGAAGGCAAGTGAGCGCAGCGAACGAGCTTCAACCTAAAGGTGAGTGAGCGTAGCGAACGAGCTCCAACCTAAAGGTGAGTGAGCGTAGCGAACGAGCTCCAACCTAAAGGTGAGTGAGCGTAGCGAACAAACTTCAACCAGGACGTGATTGAGCCATGCGAACGAGATAATCTTGAAAATTAAGAAGTTAAACGGGGCAAAGCCTGCGGGTTACAGCTAGTTCCTTTTAAATATGAATACTCATAAGGTTAACATGGGAAACTCTAGAGCCACTGGGGGGAGCTCGAAAGGATTTTTGAGGTAAGAATATGTCTATATGTTAATCGGGAATGTGAGCTATCATCAAACCAAATTTCAACACAATCCGACCAGTTAATGCGTGATTGAACTTCAAACAAACAAACAAACAAACAAACAAACAAACAAACAAACAAATAAACAAACAAACACACAAACTTTCACATTATAATATTAGTATGATCTATATATACAAGCTGCTATACCCGTGCTTTGCAACGGGAAGAAAATGTGACCTAGAGAGCTATTAAAGTAATTCGGTACTTTCCTGTTAAAGGGAACATTCATTATTATCGATGATTTTCAATCGATATATCGATATTAACGAATTGAAACTTATCAGCTGACAACTACGATAAATAATTATTGTTCAGTATCAAAAAACTATTGAAATGAAACTGTTCCAAACCAACCTAACAAAACTAACCAAACTTGCCAATAAGATAAATAACATTTAAAAATTCCGTTTAATATTCCCCACATGCTTTTTCTGTAATCAAACGGAATTTTTAAAATGGTACAGCAAGATTGGTTGGTTATGTTAGGTCAGCTTAGAACAGTTTTAATATGTTAATATGTTTTAATAGTTTTAATATTTTTTTCTAAGCTTAGAACAGTGCGATAAGCAAACCGTCGATTTTGACGGGTTTCACCTAGTAACATTTAATCAAATAAAAATCAATTAAATATCAGTATAACCATTATGGAATAGACTAGATTTTAGCCTGAACAAGATCAGTTGTCAATTTGTAATGGATCGTAAAGAGAAACAAAAATATCGATATATCGATTAAAATCATCGATAATAATGAATGTTCCCTTTAACAGGAAAGTACCCCTACTTACTTTCAAACTCCTACTTTTTATGTTAATAGATTGAAAAGTATATGACAACATACCTTAGTGTAGCAACAGCATCAATTTCTTAATATTGATGCTTCACGAATGACATGTTTTACCATAATTCTTCAACTTTAGTCAAGCCTCTTTACATGTAGCTTACTATATAAATTACAAAATGAAACTTTGAGCAACACTTTACAAAACGTATACAACCTTTCTTTAAAACCAAG